TATATAAAGCCAGCAGTCAGACCACTTGAGAGGCTCTGCAGTCACTGGGGGAGAAGGGGAGACACGGATGCTGGCACACTATTATTATTCTGCTGCTGCACACAGGTCTGAATCAGCTCTGAAAACGCATACATTGTTTCTTACAGAATGTCTCTGGCTCCTAACAACAGAATTGCAACGTGATGTCTCTGCTAAAAATGCGATGACTCACAAATGAGTCAACAGCAAAGGTGTTATAGGAGGCTAACTGCTGTGCTGTCTGCCAGGGCTTCCTAACATGCAGAAGCAAGGCTAGCCATTAATTTACTTGGCTTTCTTTTCATACAGAGTTTCTAAAAACGTCTAATAAATGAAGTTCTTGTATTACTACTACGAATAAATTCTGGTTTCTAAGAGCCTCCTAAACTGGGTTAACATATTGAGATACCACATTGTATGGGTTTAGCAGGATTTAAATTTTTAAATTTAATTTCTGCTGAAATCTGTAGTGCAGCTTAATGTATTCATTCAGGAGTAGGGCATTATCCTTGTCTGTCTCTATGGTACAAGAGGTGTCCTCACCAGTCAGAATTGTAGATTGGATTTACATTCTAGAAGGAAAGGTATTCCAGGCCTGTTTTTTCTTTTAATGAGTTGGTTTTTTTTTTCCCCCCTTAAGAGTTTTTATTTATTTATTTATTGCAGGTAGGCCCCTTCCTAAACAAAACTCCTTGTAAATCTTCCGAATTTCAGGTACGATACCCAATAGAGATGAAGAATATAAGGATACGGAGTAGTTTACAATTGCTAGCAAATTATATGAAGATCTGTGAAGAAGGGTCATCCTCTGGGCTGCACGTCTCAAGAAAGACAAATCTAATTATCTCCAATTACAATACAGATGTTGTCACTAATTACAGTGTATCTGCCCTTCAGATTACAAACACAATACATCTTCATTGGATTTACATATACGTTAAACTTCTTTTTAAATTGTGATGCACTGCAAGCCAGTGGCGGAAGCCCAGGAGTTACGGTATTTGCTGTTAGCGTGGATCTTCAACAAAAGGTCTGATTCTTTTCACTGTGACTCCTTTTTTGAACTTTCAGCCTTTACTTTCCTACATGAGTTTGTTCTGGAAGAATGCCATGGCCATTGGCTGTATAGAATCATAGACTCATAGAATCATTTGAGTTAGAAAGGACCTTTAAAGATGATCTAGTCCAACTCCCTTGCAATAAACAGGGACATCTACGGCCACATCAGGTTGCTGAGACCCCCATCCAGCCTGACCTTGAATGTCAGGGGCAAGACACCCACCACCTCTCTTGGAAACCTGTTCCAGTGCCTCACTACCCCTATTGAAAAAAACTTCCTAACATCCAATCTAGATCTCCCCTCTTTTAGTTTGAAACAGTTTTTCCTTTTCCTATCACAACATACCCTGCTAACAAGTCTGTCCCCTCCTTTAGATAGTGATAGGGTCCTCTCCTGTGCCTTCTCTTCTCCACACTGAACAGCCCCAGCTCTCTCAGCCTGTCCTCACAGGGGAGGTGTTCCATCCCTTCCATTATTTTTGTGGCTCTCCATGGACTCCAACAGATCCTGTCTATTCTGTACTGAGGACTCCACATTTGGATGCAGATGTGAGATCTCACCAGCACAGAGTAGAGAGGTAGGGTCACCTTCCTCACCCTTCTGGCCACACTTCTGATGCAGCCCAGGGTATGGTTAGGTTTCAGGGATGCAAGGGCACGTTGCTGGCTCATGTCCAGCTTCCCATCCACCTGTATCTCCAAGTCCTTTTTGTCAGAGTTGTGCTCAGTCCTTTTGTACCCTGGCTTGTAATATTGGCGGAGGTTGCCACAATCCCAGATGCAGGATCTTGCACTTGAATTTATTGAATCTCATGAAATTTTCTTGGGCCCACTGCTTGACCCTGTCTAGGTCTCTCTGACTATCTTTCCATCCTTGAGGCATGTCGACCGCACCTCACAGCTTGTTGACATTCGCAAACTTACTGAGGATGCAGTCATTCTTACTATCAGTGTAGTTGATGAAGATGCTGAAGAGTGTTGGTCCCAATACAGTCGTCCCCTGTTGGACACCAGCTGTCACTGATCTTCATCCAGACACTGAGCCATTGACCACACCACACTCTGCATATAGTCTTGCAACCAAGTTCCTCATCCATCGGTCTACTCATCAAATCTATATCTTTCAATCTGGAGAGAAGGATGTTAGCAGAGACTGTGTCCAAGGTCTTACTGAAGTCCAGATAGATGACATCATAGCTCTTCCTTTGTCAACTGATGCAATTATGCTATTGTAGAAAACTACTCTTTTGGAAGGTGTAGGTCCAAATCCTGCCACACAGGAAAGCAGCTGAATCTACATTTCCTGCATTCTTACAAGTGATTTTACCAGACAACTACAGAGTGAGGTGATTCCATTTTCTTGACCATACATACATATCTAATTTGAATTGCTATGGCTTGTAACTAACTTACCAACAGTTTGGGACAATCAAAACTATTTTTTTCTTAATGAATTTACCATTTGTTTGAATTACTTTACCCATAGCTTGGGTTGGAAGGGACCTCAAGGTTCATCAAGCTCCAACCTCCCTGCCGCAGGCAGGGCTGCCAACCTCCATATCTCATACTAGACCAGTCTTGGGAGTTCTTTCTCTGGCTGCCGCTGCCACCATTGAAACTCTTTACTTGCTTCTCTTCTTCTTCGTGCTGCTTTGAGTTGAATTTTCTTCTCTCTATATTTGAATCCCTTTACCTGTCTATTCCTCCCTTTTTTTACCTGTCTATTCCTCCCTTCTCTCAGTTGAATTCAGTTTTTTGCTGGCTACATCTGCCTATATGCCTGTTACTTACCTGTGCAAATGTTATTGTTTTATTCTACTTAGGAATGCTGTGTTTTTTATGTGTTTTTCATACCGCCTGATTAATGTGAAGCAGTCTAATACTTTCCCCTTCTTTCAACTTCCTCATATGGACTCATCAGCATATTTAATAATGGCTAGATTAAGTGCAGATTCTGATGACTGCTTATTAAATTTGATTAATCATAAGAAACTTTCTGTGTGCAAATGCGTATGCTCTCTCTTGCAGAGTTTTGTGCATGCAGTCAGGTGTAAATTCAAACATAAATATTAATTGTGTATTTTTCTATGAGATGACTGTATCTCTCTATCTGTGCACTCCCTATATGTAAGTTGTTTTCAGAGCTGTCAAGGTCAGGGTCACTTTTCGTTATGTTTTTATTCCAAAGAACAAGATTTGTAATCATGGTTGGGCTGTGAGGCATGTCTGAGATCATTAAATTAAAGTATGAGGATAGTTCTGAGGCTTTTGCTGCAGTCCAGTCTGGAACTATTGCACAGCCGTTGTGCAGGCCAGATTTCCTTCAGCTAAGCTTGGCATTGCAGCCAGCAGTATTATAGACACTGTCTTGCATTCTCTTGAGATGGGCTTTTTATTTTTGAGACTAGAAACCAGCTCTTGCTTGTATGGCAGGTCTGATCTGACAGGTGCTAAGCCTGGCTGGCGGGGTAAAAGCCCGATAAGATAACTCAATTGTTTAGTAGAAATTGCTGGGGAAACTTGTGAGCAAGTGAAGTCAGCCCCAGACTTCAGGAGGAACTTCCCCACGGAACTAGTGGTTAGTATGAACTACTGTAGCACTGGAGACCTGCCATTCACTTTATCTCTTGTCACAGAAACTTGCACATGTGCGTGTGCTCATGTTTAATGACCCATGGGAGATGCTCAGACATTGTGCAATGAGGGAGTATAAAAATACTTCTTAACACAGAGCAGAATATGGCTTGATATTTTGGTGTCTGTTTTTCCTGGAGCCCTAAGGAAAAACTACATGATTATGAAATGTCCTGCCTTTTTGTATACCAGCCTTTTCAGTTTGGAAATGATAGCACAGTGGGTCAGTTCTGGGAAAACTTAATTAGATTTGGATGTAACTTACGGGAAATATTAAAAAAAAGTCTGGATGCTGTTCTAAATTATCTTGTACTACTTACCCTTTCACTGACTGTGAACCTTGAACCTTGAAAGCTGGTTTTCAAATTTTTGTTTGGAATATTTACCTGCTTTTCCAGTTTGGGTCTTATCCTAAGTTTGTAAAGGAGAATGTGTATGGAAACCATGGATATATATTTTTGTTGTTTTCTCAATCCTCACATGCAGGTTAAGTTTCCATGTGTGATTTTGTTTAACATTTTTTTGGGCCTGGAGTATCAGAGGATGTGAGGACTGCACATGTTCTCAGGCACCAACACAGCTTTGTAAGTGTCTCTTGAAAGCTAGGTGCCTGTGAAGGAATGAAATTCCCCAGTTTTGGTGGACGTGCACAGACCTGTGTTGGATCCAACCTCTGCTGCATTAGCAGCCTGTGCTAAGATTTCCACTGCAAGCTAGCTGGTGATTTTTGTCTCCTCTTTCCAATGCCAAATAGATCTTAATGGGACAGATACTCTGTCTCTTCCTATTTGGAAGGTGTGCTGCTATGATTCAGAATGTCAGAATGGGAATGGAAAAAAATCTAAATTTAAATAAAACAACTGTGGAATTAGGCCAATTGTTCACTTTTTTTACTCCCCGCCTCCCTTTTGAAGATGCAGTTTTCATTACTGCTCTTCTTTTAACTTTGGCCCTTTCCAAGCTAGCACTGTGTAGCTACATCTGTTGGGAGTGAAGGGTCTGCAACTGGCACCAGTTTTTGAAGTTGTAGATGTCAAATAATAATGTATACAGTACTACAGTCCCTCTGTAGCTGGTGACCTGCTGTTGTTTTAATGACTGTCTGAGACCCTGTGTGCCTGGGGCAAAGTGCACCCTTTGTGTTATGCACTCCAAAGCCAGTCACGGTACATTCTTAGTAGAATGTACACAAAAAAATCATACAATTTAGATGTATTACTTGTCCACAAGGTAATTGGAGAATTTATAATGGGCCCTGATGCAAGCAAATAACTCTTGTGCCTAACCAGCAGAGAGATGGCGACCTTCCTGCTTCAAAGAAGAAACGCCAGGCAGGGGAGAAGATTATGTATACTTTGGTCTCTGTGCCACATGGAAATGACATCGCGTCTCTCTTTGAACTGGATGCCACCACTCTTCAGAGAGCTGATTGCCTGGTTCCAAGGTAAAAAAAAAAAAAAAGTTGTGGGATTGACAAGGTTTCTTCCTAGCATTATGCCTGTGAGTAAAGCAGAAAAAATCAAACATAAGCAAGTATTATCCTTCAGTTAAAATTTGAAGAGTGTTCACAGATAAACAAGAGATGTATAAAACATGATACTGCTGCTGCGACTGGATAAAATAATTATAAGGATAAAACAAGTGACACTTAAAGAGAATCTGTGAAGAGAAAAATAACAGGCTAAATGTTGCACTGTTATGTATGAAGACAGAATTGAGTTGCACTGTTTGAAAAAAAATGTGCTGCTAGTAGATCTAACTGAATTGTTCCCTACCAAATAATATCTATGGTGAACTGTGTTTCTGTTTCTGAACACGTCTGTTATTCAAATTAATTGGTTCATAGATTTTACTTGTGAATGTTTGAAACTTCAATTGTTACTTGTTAACAATTGAGTAACAATCCCAAGCTGGGATTGATTAGATAAGTCACATGGTGTTTGTTGTGGCTGAATGGGTATGAAGACACTTGGGGCTAGTAGTTGTTCTGAGGGTGGAGTTTAAAGCTAGATACCTACAAATAGTGATGTATGCAACTTGGAAGTATTTGCTCTGCAGAGTTTTGCCAGATAATTTTCTTACTTGAATACTCAAAGTCCATCAGCATGACAGGGAGTGTGTTAATGAAGATTGTAGTGGATATATTTACTGAGTACAGTTCAGAGTAAAAATTGTAATTGATTTATCAGCTCTGCTTTTTAATAATGCCAGAAATTATCAAATGGAAAGAATTTAGAAGAATCTCATACCTGCTCTTTGTTTACTTGATTTTCGGTTGAGAACTGATAGTGTAAATGCTCACTCCCTGGAACAGGGTTTTGCACATCATAATGGTGAAACTGAAACTATGATCTGTTTGACATTTGCACTTTTGTTCTGTGACAGGTTGAATGGGCTCATTACTCGGCAGAAAAAATAATAAGAAAACAGTTGCTTTTATTCATGATGTGTACTTCAATTCAATTAGGATTTTAAAATACCTTTTAATTTTTTTCTTTTTTTTCATATAAGGAATACTTTACTCCTAGACTTATGGAAATGTTTAAAAGCAGCATTCTGCGTAATCCCAAGATGCTGTCCTTGTTACTGCATTATGCTGGATCAGAAAGAAAAGAGACACAAGGGGAAAGGGTGCTACAGTGCTTTCTAGGTCTCCCTTGCCTTTTTATTATGAGTGGCTGGTGTGACTCATGCTCTCACATCTCATGTCCGTATGTTAAACCACATCTCACCTTGCCCAGTTTAGCTCAGAAAGGATCCATCTAATCCATTGTTTGCTTTCCTCTCTTTTAGGAACTCCTATGTCCGGCTGAGGCATTTGTGTACCAATACTTGGGTTACTAGTACTAGCATCCCAATAGACACCAATGAAGAAAGGCCTGTAATGTTAAAGGTAAACACTAATTTCTCAGGGTTCAAATTCCAGCATAATTCCTAGAGTTTCCTACTGGTGATCTTGACATATAAAATATGCATAATTGGGCAAAGGTGAGCAAATTGGTTACCCTAATTAAACCACAAACTATTGCAGATCGGGACGTGCCAAACAAAGGAGGACAAGGAGGCTTTTGCAATTGTATCAGTTCCTCTATCTGAGGTCAGAGACTTGGACTTTGCTAACGATGCAAACAAGGTCTTAGCATCAACTGTTAAAAAGCTGGAGAATGGAACAATAACGCAGAATGAAAGGAGGTTAGTGAGCTTTTTTTGTTGTTGTTAAATTAGGGTTACTCCTAGCATCATGGTGTCATGTTATCACAGTAATGGGTAAGTGCAATTCATTGTACTGTGTGTTCATGCTGCTAGGGCAGTAGAAGCAAGACTTGCAGTGATTGAGAGGCTGCTGTGATTGTCCCTTTCCTTTCTTTCTTATAAGAGGCACTGATTTCATCTCTCTGGTGACAGCAGCAGGACCTGAGGGAATGGCATGAACGTGTGTGGAGAGGGGATAGGAGAAGCCCTGGAACAGGGTCGTGGCACCATGCTTGTGTTCAAGGAGTGTTTGGACAACGCTTGTGGATATAGGGTTTGGATTTTTGTGGTTCTGTGTGGAGCCAAGTGGGGGACTCAATTATCCCTCTGGGTGCATTCTAACTCATGATATTCTGTGATTCTGTCATTTTATTTTTCCCTGTTTACTTTCCTGTTTTACATTTCCTGTTGTCTTCAGTGTTTACTCTTTATATCCATCCATGCTTCAATTCAAAGAATGTCTGTTCTTTACACCCAGCCCTGAATTAAGGGATTTTGTTGTACATTGTGGCCACCTATTTCCCACTGCAAGTGATGTGGTTGGCTATTTGTTTTCAGCTGTCTGGTAAAACTAATAGCATCTCTTACAGTGTTAATTTTTATCTTGTATTCCACTGTGCATCATGCAGAGCTTTTCGTCAGAAATGTTAATTTTTGGTGACCAAACAATTTATGCTGTTTGTCGAGTCCACAAGTCTTTTGTCAGTCGTAATTAGCACAGGTGGCTTAGTATCAGGTGAAGGATTTATCTTAACAGGCAAATCTGTAACAGCCAAGGTATTAGTACACAATCTTGGAAAGCCATTTCATTCATTGTTGAGTCAAATCAGATGGGGATACAACATAATGAAGGCATGACATCCTTGTATTAGCCTTGCTCTGCTGTGTCACTGCAATCCAGTATTGTCAAGTGCTGATGTTGATGTACTAGTACAACAAACACATGAAATAATTGAGAATGGAAGTGGAACAGAGCTGGCAGATCTTTAAGGAAGCTTTCAGCAGAAGAGCACAAGAGCTCTCCATCCCCAGGTGTTGGAAGTCAGGAAAGGAAGGCAAGAGACAAGCGTGGCTGAACTAGGACCTGCTGGTCAAACTGGAAAGCAGGAAGAAAATATACAGACAGCAGAAGTAGAGACAGGTACTTTGGGAGAAATATAGGAAGGCTCCTAGGCTGTGTAGGGGTTAGGTCAGGAAGGCTAAGACCCTACGGGAACTGAATTCAGCAAGAGGTGCAAAGAAGAACAAGAAAAGCTCTGAGCAACCTGGTCTAGCTGTGGATGTCCAAATCCCCTATTCATTGCAGGGGATTTGGACTAGATGACCTTTAAAGGTCCCTTCCAACACAGATGATTCTATGATTCTGTGATTTCATGATATTGCTGTTATTAGTTTGTTCCTGTGATTTCCTTCAAAACAAACAAACAAACAAAAACCCCCCTCTTCTTGTTTCCCTGTCTTATTACCTTCCTGCTTGGTAAGTAGGGATTCCAAGAGCTCGCTCCTAGTTGATCAACCCTACATTTACCTTTCCTGCTTTTTCTGTTAGTGAGGTGCCTTGTTCTGGGGACCTTACCGTTCTCCAAATTCCACTACTGGGCTGAAAACTCATTTAGAGGGATTAGTTGATCATCCAAGTCTTCTTTTACTTAATGAAAGCTTTCTGTGTGGCTCTCAGAGATGTCTTTGGAAATCTATTGAGCATCTTCCTGCCAGGTTTAGTAATTATAGACTAAATATTTGCCAGACTCAGACAATGCTGCTAAGGGTGGGAGATGTGCTGGGTTTTGTTTGTGAAAGATTGCCAATTCTTTTAAGAAAATTTGTGGTCATCCACACTTCTCTCTGTGTATACCTGGCAAGGTATGTTAACAGCAAGGTGGTGATGACCTACATTGCTTGAAGATGGAAGGGCTTGGCACTGCCTTTGTCCTGTTTTAGCATTTACTTCTGCCAAATCTTCTTTTGTGTAGGAAAGAATGGGTGAAATAAAAGTATTTTTTTTCCAAGTCATTTTTCAATAGTTTCTCACGTCAGTAGGGAAATAGTGGCAGTGGCAAAGTGTTTATATTCCTCTAGTCAGTGCACAATCTTGTTTCATGGGCCAATGTTACTAACTTCCCAGTGGAAATTGTTGCTGGGCTGATTAAGAGTATCTGTCTACTGTTTCTGGGTGTTGCAGTCAGCTGGTAGAGATTTTGGATTTCTAAGCAGTCTGCATTTATTCTACATCAGTTTTGCATCCTCCCTTTTTTCCTCTGGTTGCTGTTTAAAGTCTTGGAAAACATCACTGTGGTGGATTCAAACCTGTGCTGATCTGAGACCTGGAAGCCTTAGGTATATGTCAAACTTAGCTTTGCAGTGATTGCAGTTCTGATGCGCTAGATAACGCTTGTTCTAAAATGTGATTTTCTTTCTTAATGAATCCTAGCAAGTGTTGAATGACTGTGTATAATAGGGATCTGTCTATTCATTCTAGATTCGTGACCAAGTTATTGGAAGATCTGATTTTCTTTGTGTCTGATGTGCCTAACAATGGGCAGGAAGTTTTGGAAGTGGTCATTACTAAGCCAAACCGGGAGCGACAAAAATTAATGCGGGAACAAAATATATTGGCTCAGGTATATTCTGTGTGTTCAAGTATGAGTAACTTGACTGTACTTCCAAATAGATTGTAGGAGAGAAGGAATTGATAAAATGTTGGTTTCAGGTAAGTTGGCTTATGCTATCTTGGGTTGTGTGTAACTGGATTCATTAGACATGAAACTCATTAATCAAGACTCACGGCAGAAGGCCCGGAGTTTGATGTCTATTAGTCTCATGTAATTCTGATGACTTATAAGATTTTTAAGACTTTATTTACAAGTAAACTGTTGAACAAATTTGAAGCAAGTCTGCTACATGGTCCTGATCCTGCAACTGTTTTCCTTGAAGGAAAACTTATAATACCCTTATGGATCCCTGACTTGTTTGAGGACTGACTTGCATATAAATCCGAATTAATATTCTTTTCAAGTATCTTACTGAAATAGTAAATAAATAATAAAGTGAAAAGAATCAAACTAGATAGCAGCCCATATGTGCTTTTTCATCCTTAATTTATCTAAAATTAAGGCACTTAACTGACAGTGTTTTAAACTACGGATAGCAGTCAAGAAAAAGTAGTGTCAACCAAATTGGTGTGGAAATGCAAAGCTAAATGCTTATGTTGTAACGTCAGAGATTGTCCTTGTCCCTTTGCCCCTTTCTTATTCGGTGATTTGTAGATAATAAGTGAAGTGATTGAATTCTGACTTGAGCCTATAGATGCTTTGTTCTGATCCTGTCAGAGGAAATTGACAGGTACAGGTTAAGGAAAAATCTTGGCTTGATTTTCATCCTCAGTGATTTTGATTTTGAACAGATATTCGGGATCCTCAAAGCTCCTTTCAAAGACAAAGGTGAAGGATCAATGCTGAGACTTGAAGACCTAGGTGACCAGAGATATGCCCCATACAAATACATGTTAAGGTTATGTTACAGAGTTCTCAGACATTCCCAGCAGGACTATAGGAAGAACCAGGTCAGTGGCATTCAAGAATTTTTCCTCTAAATTCTGTTATTTTACATCCTATGTTTGATCTTGCACTCCACATTTACAGGTATGATCCTCTGGTAATCTGATCTTAAGGGAGAATGCAAGGACTGGGTTTTGTGTTGGTTGGTAGAAGTAGAAAGATGCTTACACAGAGTCATGCTGTGAAATAGTGTTTTTGTTTTATAGGCATTTTTATATGAACGGAGTGATTAGCAATGAATGTCATGGGTTTGTTCTCCTGGCGGGCTTCCATCTATCTTCACAGGCTCTGGCTGAGATTAGTGTCCACTGCTTCCTTCACAGGCTCCAGGGCAACAGTGGGGAAGGCAAAATTCTCTGTGATTCTGTTTTGTAAATATTTATATTGTGATAGCAGTGAGTCAAACCAGAGGCTGTTCTATCAGAAAGCATGATTTTCCACTGTGGAGACTCCCAATGAACATGAGATAATTCAGAACACGATATTGAGTGTTTTGTATGTTGCAGCACAGAAAAGAGCCCTTACTAGCTTTATAGGGCTGAAGGAGCTGAAAGTAAAAAATTGAACTGTTATGTGTGATGACTTTGTTTTCTTTCTAGCACTTTTCAGAAATATTTTTGTCTTAGAGGAGAGAGAAGGGAAGAAGAGAGCAAGAAAGTTTCTTAAAATTATATAAAGTCTTGGTTTTCCTTTTTAAAAAAAATGTTTGCCATTTCTTGAATTTTACACCCATTTGTATGTCTTTATTTTTTTGATTTATGAAAGAATGACAAGAGTTAGCCAATCCTAATATTCTGTCTTCTTATAGTACATATTTTAGGTGTTCAGATGTACCTTGTTCAGGCCAGTTTAGTGAGAAAAGTTTGGAGGATTATTTTGATTGTTAATGGAGCTGGATGTTTGCGATTCTAGAAGAAAAACATTATTGCTTAACAGATCATCACAGGGATTTTCATTTTTTCAGGAATATATTGCTAAGAACTTCTGCGTCATGCAGTCCCAGATTGGTTATGATATTTTGGCAGAAGACACCATCACAGCTTTGCTGCACAACAACAGAAAACTGCTAGAGAAACACATCACGGCTAAAGAAATAGAGACCTTTGTTAATTTACTCAGGAGAAATCGAGAGCCAAGGTTTGAAATGGTCCATATAACATTATATTTGTAGCAGCAATCAATCTCCCTGCTATTTGTTATTATGTTATTGTTTTCTTCTAGCTATTTTTTTTTTTTTTGACCTCACAGACACAAAAAAAATACGTGTACAGCACTGTGCTAGAAAATATCAGAGTTACCATATTTCTGGAGAGTTGATATCTGCCTTTCAAATCTAAATCTTGGTGAAAAGTGAGGTTTTTGCAGAACACTTCTGAAAGTTTGGCTTTGCTTCAAACTGATTGAGACAACGGAACAGAAATTTTATTGTTTTGTAACTCTGCTGCTCCTCTGTGAAAGTGCCATTTGTGCTGGTTGTCCTGCTAACAACCTTGATGGAAATGACGTTGATGTTAGCTTAACTAAGGTTTTATTAATCAGTTTTCCTGCTAATTTTCTAATCAGGTCCTGATTGCAAGTCAGAGCTGAAAGGATGGCGAGTCAGGCATAGGATGGCAAGGATCCCGGTGAACATGTGCTCTAGACCAGATTTTGTTTCAAATGAAAAATTCTAGCCTTTAACCTCGCTCTGTAAAATTTTTTTTTTTATCAGCCTTAGGTCAGAGTATAAATGTATTTTTTAATGGAAAATCAATTTAATTTTTTCATTAGATTTTCAGTTGTAAAAGTACCAAGTTATACAAATATAAGAAATTAAGAAACAGAAGGCCAAATTGTGTAATTGTGAATATTATTTTTCTGTTAGCAGTTCAGGATATTGCTCAGGGCCCTGGTGCTGTACTGCTTCAATTATGCTCTGTGTGTCTGCAGCCATTTTACCTTATGCTGTAATCTTATTGCCTCTGCCATGCTAAACTATACTGGCTTTGGTCATTACAGACAGAGGGAGCCACATGAGATCAAATGCTCCTCAGTGCTGAAGGGTTCTTGTGTTTATTGATGTCAGTTTTTTTGTGGTGAAGGACATTTTAGTATTGTTACATATCTAAATTTCATTTTGAAATATACGCTCACTTTTTTAAGGCTGAACTCCGAGTGCAATTAAATTTTGAAAAATACACCCTGCTGAGATAGTGCAATCTGACCAATAAATGCTTGATCTTATGGCATTTGTTTACATGGACAGTCTCATAAATTTTTTCAATGCTCAGAATAAGAATTGTGACAGCATGCTCTAAAACACACGAGCTCCAAAATTTAAAGCCTTCCTCCATTTTAGCATTGAAACAAGCAGTGGTGGTGAATGGTTAAGTTTTTTTACCTGGATTTCTGAGGAAATTGTATATATGCTGTGTGTGTGTATGCCAGCTTCAGTCCATTCCCTCACTGGCTCTTGATCCCATGCCCACTTTTAGCCACATTTGCTAGAGGTGTGAAGGATAATCAATTCCTAAAAATGTTGTAAAAAGAAGATGATACATGGAGGGAAGAGGCACTTTTTATATTCCAGTGAGGGAAAGGCTGCAGTGTGAAGTACTGGTAATACAAACAGAGAGATCCATAAAAGAGGGTCAAAAAGCTGATATTTTATCAGTGTCCCAAGTGCAACAAAAGCCTCTGTGTGAACCTTGTTAAACATCAGAAGACCGAAATTTGAGATGCAAATTTATAGAAAACTGTTTACATGTAATAGTTTTAGTTCTGTTTTTCATAGAATGACTGCTTTGAATAGAGATCTTGCCAGGTCTCTTTCCACTGATCATTGGTTGTGTCACATCAGAGACTCAAAAGAAAGCTTTAAAAGCTGTAGATGTGAACTCCTCCAATGCAGTGGAGTTCCTCAGAGGACCCATGGCTGTCTCCAGCACAAGTAATATCTCCTTGCTGCTTGCGTTAGGGAGTCATCCATTACCTGGATGGGTAAGATGGATAAGAATATGTGTTCTTGCTTTTGGTTCCTGAGTATGATAAAGGCTTTCAGTTGAGCTCTCTTGCTAGATGAGCTTAAGACATCCTTAGGCTGCTTAAGTTCTGGCACAACTCTGATTTGCTGAGAAGTGTCTTACTTGGGGACTTTTTCTTTCTCTCTTTGAGTTAAGGACAGTTCAGGGCTTCTCTCAGAGCTGTTGTTCATCTGTTGGGAGTTGCAATAGTTTAAATGAACAAAGACTGTATTTTGAAAAAAACAATCTCGTTAGTATATTAGTGACAAATGCTAGAGATTTTTAGAGCAATGTTTCTGTGTGGTATTTAAAGCCATGTGTTCTGTTGCATCTGTGTTTGTTTTTTTCTTTTGACTGCACAGGTTCCTGGATTATTTATCAGACCTGTGTGTATCTAACACCACAGCAATACCAGTAACACAGGAACTCATCTGCAAGTTTATGCTGAGTCCAGGAAATGCTGACATTCTCATTCAGACGAAGTGAGCATCCATAATCAGAGCATACCTTTTTGTTATTTGCTCTGTTGTTACATTGTTAGTGGCTCCCTTGTGAATGTTTTGTACTTGCAGGCTGATTTCAACACAAATGGACAATCCCTTAGAATGCCCTGTCATCTCAGATGACATTGATGAAGAGGAAGTGTGGCTTTACTGGATTGACAGTAACAAGGAACCTCATGGCAAAGCCATCAGACACCTGGCTCAGGAAGCAAAGGAGGGCACAAAAGTTGATTTAGAAGTGCTTACCTACTACAGGTAAAACTGCTTATGCAAATAGATGAAAATGTAAACTCTCCTGGAGCCTGGCGCAGTTCTTATCCACTCTGTTTGTCAATATCAAAGGAGGAAAGCAAGTCATACCAGAAACAGGGATTAAAAGTTTGCTTCAGATTTTTCCTTTAGGAAGCATCACAATCTCTGTTGTCTATTCCAGACATACACTGAGTTTTCTTTGTTTGTGACAGCTTTTTGTGTCTCTCTAATGTTTCCTCTTACCTTTTATTTATGAAACCATTTTTATCATGCTCTGCTGTTCTTGGAAGCAAGGCATACGCTGAAGGAGCATCCACAACATCCCAGAGTATAGAAAGGAGATAGGATCATGGAACAGTGTCTTATACTGATTGAAAACAAACTGTTTAAATACTTCAGCCTTCCACTGAACAATGCTTTGAGTTTCAAAGGGAGCCCAGTTTAATGGGGATTGAAGGCTGACATTAACATTTTTAACGGCAAGTTTGTCCCTCGGTTAACAAAACCACTCTTAATCATTTTTACTGTTTACAACAGAAGAGCTGACATCACAATTGTAAAGTGAGATTCTGAGGTTCATTGTTTCACAGTATTCAAATAAATCAGTTGGAAATGTGCTATTATTCTTATTTAAGGTACCAACTGAACCTCTTTGCAAGAATGTGCCTGGACCGCCAGTATCTAGCCATCAACCAGATTTCTGCACAGCTATCAGTAGACTTGATCCTGCGATGTATGTCTGATGAAAGCCTTCCTTATGACCTCCGGGCTTCTTTTTGCCGGTTGATGCTACACATGCACGTGGACAGAGATCCTCAGGAATCAGTGGTACCTGTCAGATACGCCAGATTGTGGACTGAAATTCCTACCAAGATCACAATTCATGAGTGAGTTGAAAATGTTGCACAATATGGTACAAAATTACTTCATTGGGGTTAGTCTTAGAACAAAATGGTTGTAGCTGTCTAATGCCAACACATACATTTAGAAAGGTATTTAGATACAGAATAATGAGCAATTAGTTATTGTTAATCTCGGAAACTTCCTTGAGTAGCTTTACTTGGAAATAGAATCATAGAATCATCCATGCTGGAAATGCTCTTCAGGATCTGAACTGAAGGTCCAACCATCAACCTGATCTACTGAGTCCCATCACTAAATCATGGCCTTTAGTGCTGCATCTTCCATATTACTTCACTTTATTTCTCACTTTATTTCTCCTCTACAGAACAATCTGAGTATAAAATGGAATGGCCTTTCATCAGAACAACAGAACTTAAAGTAATCAAATTGTGCCTAACATCAGGCGTGTACCATGTTGGAATTTAGTTTTAAACTTCTTCCTCAACTGAAAGTTACAATTGGAAAACCAAAATGTACAGCTAAGTGCAGTTATTGCCCCAGAAACAGTTCATTAAAGCTTTGGTCTTCTACGTACTTAAGCACGTGTTAAATTGACTTCAGTGGAAGCCCTCTTTGGTTTAAGTGATTTAATGGAGCAGCACTGCTTCAGTGGGCTAGACCCAGACATGGAGTATCTGGCTGAAGAGATAGAGGATGAAGTGCAGCAATGAAGCAGACAGTATTGCTTCTGCTACTGATATGAGGGAGTGTTTTGACTTAGGACAAGAGAGTCTAATTGGTGGTGGAAGCTGATTGTCCTGAGCTTCTTTCCTTGTCTGCTGTCTTTCTTGTAGAGATAGTAAAGGAGAACAGAAGGCTAAGAGGAAACTCATTGCTGTCTTCAACTTCCTGTATGGGGGGAGGTGGAGAGGGAAGTACTGGTCTCTTCTCCTTGATAAATGATGACCACTTCCATGAGAACGACACTAAACTGCACCCAGGGAGGTTCAGACTGGTTGTTAGAAAACTTTTATTTACTCTTTTATTTACTTTAGTGGTCAAACACTAAAACTGGCTTCATGGAGAGGTGGTTGATTTCCCATGCCTGTTTGTGAGGCATTTGGATAATGCCTTAATAGTACACATTCCCTTTTGGTTAGCCCTGGTCAGGCAGTTGTAGTTGATGATGTTTCTGTTCCATCCCATTCTCTGGCTGACGAGAGAGGAAAGTTGAGATTTAGTGACCTAGTGGATCAGTCTTAGATACTACAGTTCTGAGTGATAGCACTTTCTGTCTGTGTTATTCCCATTCATTGCACTTCCTACTGTTGGAGGAGAAGCTTGTGCATCCTCTGTCTGGCGTCTTTGCATATCTATGTAGAATTAGTTGGCCTCTACCCCTTCTCCTTGCAGAGAACTGATAGTGATTTTAAAGCATTATTGTTGGTTTATTTATTCTGTAGTGCCCACTGATCTCTTCCTTCTGTGTCTTGCATTGTAGGTATGATTCTTTCACAGATTCTTCACGAAATGAAATGAAGAGGAAATTTGCACTAACTATGGAATTTGTGGAAGAGTACTTGAAAGAAGTTGTAAATCAGCCTTTTCCTTTTGGTGACAAAGAGAAAAATAAACTTACATTTGAGGTACTAATCGCCATCCTAATTTACAATATTCCTTCTCATTTCAGCTAGGTGAACACTGGTTCTTTCAAAATAAAGGCACCTTCAGAATGAATGTCCCAGTGAAAAACCAATTTCTAATTCTGGTGTTCTCATTGATAACTATTACTACAGAAAATAATATTACTGTCTTCTGTCAAACAGCTATATTTTTTCCTCCTACTCCTATGATTGTTGCATTTCAGTGGCAGGAGAAGGGATGTGGACGATGGAGTATTCTTTCTCTCCACATTAGTAAATCAGCATGCAGGGATTTTTCAGTAGAAGCAAGTACTATTCTATGTGTAGAAATTTGAAAGAAATTCTCTGAATAATCTTGCATTTCAAATTCCTGACAGAAACTTCAGATAGACCTAAATCATATATATTCAAATAAAGTTGAATAAGGGGGAAGTGCTTATAGCTTTTACAATTCTTCCTCCAATCTACCTCCAGAACTTTTTTGCTTCTATCTCTAGTCATTTGAAATCACCTTCATTCAAATTTCCACAGTCAAATGCCATTCTTTTCCATTTTCTGTACAACTACTGTCCCTTTAAACTGTTTCCTGGATTTTTTCTTCTCAGTCTTATTTATTTTCTCAGATGCAATTGTATCATTTCAGTCCATCTTAAGCCTCAGATTATTTTCACTCTTTTTGTCTGACTCTGAAAAACATTTGATGTCAGTGCCCTTGGTCCAAAGCCAATTTAAATGAGTGGAAACACTTGTACTAATGTGAATATACTCTAATCTCAAATGCTGTGCAAGATGCTGTGTAAAATGCTACTTTATCTCACAGATGAATAACACAAAGATTGACAATACTTCCTTCCTTTTTGTTTTTGTCGTAGGTGGTACATCTAGCTCGAAACCTCATATACTTTGGCTTTTATAGTTTTAGTGAGCTTCTCAGACTGACCCGTACGCTTCTGGCAATTCTAGATATTGTTCAAGTTCCTATGTCATCTTACTTTGAAAGACTGAGCAAGTTTCAGGATGGAGGTAAGAAATGCAACAAAATACTATATTCCAGGGTGTAACTTGTTATACTGGGGTACTTTTTGGAATATCTCACTGATTTTTCTGAGTTATTTATCCACACATAAAGTCACCAACTGGGTGTTGTCACAGGTCACATTAAGATGCTTGTCTAAAAAGGAACCTTTTTTGAACAGAACTGCAGACTTCATGATTTGTGGTTACTGTACTGATGCTACTGCTCCTTTGCTTGTTTGGAATAGAACTCTCAAATCTGGATCCAGGGTTTGGCGTCCTTTGCATTACCCATCCCCAGACAGTACAAAAACAGCATTTGTCTGGGCACAGCAATTATAATGTCTCATATATGGCACAAGTATTTGTCAGTCTCCTCTACACTTCACTTAAAAAGAGAATATGGAAAAGTGTAACTTTTCCAAGAACTGCAGAAGCACCAGATGATGGAAGCCCAGGTGAGGCCATCCTGTACATCTGTTTGTCAGTTTAGAATATTCTTTTAACCAGATTAGAGTGCCTAGCTGACAATATTGTATGTCCCACTGCCTTTTGTATGATGACTTAAAAGTAGGTGTGCTATGGAGGCTTAAAAATAGCACTGGACTTTTGATGCAGGGAGACAAGTGTTCTTATTTAATATCACTGTAAGATTTGCTGGAGAGGCCTTCTACAGTTTTTTTATAGAAGATCTCCATCTTTAGATGGTTATCTATTATCTTCAGCCTCCCTCTACTTTTCTGTTTGGCAGGTTGTAAAACATAAGCTGTATTATTTATCTGTGCAATTGATACTCAGAATGATCCTCAGTGTCTGACTACTATGCCCAAGCATCTTATTAGTCCTCTTTCTTTCTCTGGAAGTACAGGCTTAGGACAGCATTAAGCTATGAAGATGCATATGGCACAAAGGTATGTAATTTAGAAGCAGTTTCATACCACCTGTTCAGTACTTTTGATCACCTAGCTTGTAGAGGTTCATGCTTGAACAGCATATTTCATATCTGAAAAACATACTACTCAAGCAAAAGAGAGTAGTGCTTTTCATTAAGAAAAGACATTAAAAAAAGCAACAACAACAACAATCAGCATTTAGTGCCAAATTAAGATTAGAAAAGGGGCTCAAGAAGAAATCACCAGAAGAAATCACCAGGTACTTGCAGTGTTGAGGGATTTGAAGATTTTTAAGTCATCACAATCTGCTTTTCATCCTGTCAGAGGTCCAGCAGTGATGTAACTTTTGTCTCAGTAACCAGATAGGAACTGAAAACAATCTTAATCAGATTGAGGATAGTCACTGGACCAATATTAAGTAGTAGCCCTTTTAAACCAGCCCTGTAGCTGTGATCCACCCACATTTTGATTTTGTCTTTGCTACTAGGTAATGAGAAGGTTTGAAATGAGCTCTAAACACAGAGAACATTCAGTCTGCTTGTGTAGTCTCTGCATCACTGGGTATCACTTAGCTGTATCAGCAGTGTGATACCAAATTCATCACCAGCATTCCAAATTCATTTTCCCTGTTTATTAATTATTCCTTATACATCTTGCTTATTTTACTAAAATTACTTATCAAGTAAATAAGTATATATATCAAGGATTGACCTGTTGAAGCAAGTCTTCAAAATGGGATGCACTGTTAGGCTAAGTGAAAGTTACTTCAAGACTTAATTGACCTTTTACCTCAAGATATTCTTTTCCATCCTTCTCTTAAATTCTCAGTCACAGTGATGGCTGAGGTAGCCCTTGATGTTGTGTGCAAGCTTCTCTTTATTGGTTCTGCAAAGTAACTGAAAAGATCCTTATATTACTGTTCATGTTTTGCCTTACTGCCTTTAAAAGTCTTGATTTTAATGCCAGCGTCAGTTACCTTATTCAGAATTAAATTGATATGTGTGTAGTTTTCAGGTGTGACCTTATTTGTTGGAGGTAGATTGGGGAAAATTGGCTAGAAACATTTGTGAGATGGGATACTGGGAAAAAAAAAGGTGTGTTTTTTTGGAAAGCTTCTTACCTAGATTGCATCCTAAAATTGAATTGATTTGGAAATGCTGCAGCCAGCTTCTGTTTTCAATCCGAATATCATAATTTTGAATGATTTTTTACTATTGGATCCTTTCTTCTGTGGGTTTTTTTTTTTTTTTCCCTTTTAGATTCTAAAAGATAGCGGGTTTAAAATTACAGTGTCTTGATGAGGCATTTTTGGTTAAAGTGATGACTTATTAATAGTGCTCATTCTCGCGTCTTTCAAGAACATTAAAATTTCTTATGGTTTTAATTAAAAGGTTAAGTCATTGCTTTTCTAGTAAGTGTACCCTGCTGTATAATTCCAAAGTCAGGAGCCAATCTGCATTGTCCAATATTGGTTATTTATTTTCTGAGAATTAAAATGCACATCTTTCTCTGTACGTGATGGATCTTTCAAATAGCTGATTTTAGTCAAACCATGCAGCTGCAGCATATGTCAGATCTGAAAGGCGAAACAACATAATAGCATTAGCAGGCAAGCTACATGTTTGCCATGCAGCTCAGCATTATTTAGTCAACGTTATTTGGAAATGAAAATAATGACATACAAGGAATAGAATCATAGAATCACCAAGGCTGGAAAACACCTACAAGATCATCCAATCCAACCGCCCACCTATCACCAATATTTCCTACTAGACCATGTTCCTCAACACAATGTCTAAACATTCCTTGAACACCTCCAGGGTCAGTGATTCCACCACCTCCCTGAGCAGCCCACTTCAGCACCTGACCATTCTTTAAGAGTAGTATTTCCTAACGTACAGCCTGAATCTTCCCTGGTGCAACTGGAGGCCATTCCCTCTAGTCCTATCACTAGATACATGGGAGAAGAGGCTGACCCCCAGCTCACTACAGCCTTCTTTCAGGTAGTTATAGAGAGCAAATAGCAATGGCAGCATTTCCCACCTGCAGACTGAAGGGTGTAAAGGGTAAAAATGTGTTCACAAACATTCCGAGATCTTGGAATACCTCCTGGAATCATATCAGGAAAAGTCTGACCCCTGTGTCATGCTGCAGGCTTTGCTTCTCTGTTGTGATTCACTTTGATTCACCTGTGATTCACCATCTCAAGGATTCCACCTTGGCAGGGGTTGGGATGAGGAAGCCCTCTTTCTCTCATGCAGAGTTCAGTAGCAGTGAGCTGCCGTTTCTATACTTATATATATGACAGCATATCATACTGTCGAGTCTTCTACTAGAACAGCATTGGGAATGAGGTTGGACCTGCCATTTCTACTGTGCCTCTGGGTCCTCTGTATCAAGAAGGACCTGATTTCATCCAGGACTACTAGGAAATTTTTTATTGTTTCTCAGCTTTGTGTCTGTCTGCTAACTATTCTTTTGTCTGGTTAACAGTTTCAAGTGTCTTCTTGAGGCACATTTTGATTAGCAGAGCTAATGAGGCAGTGGCTGCCTGGCAGACTAGAGTAATAACTTATGCCAGCAGTTTACAAAAAAAGGTTAGGTGAAAAAAAAACAAAAAAACTTTAACCCTTAGAAAAGCTGGCTGTGTTAGTCACTGATGTCTGTGGTGTAACAACTGCCAGTCATTGAAGACTGTGATCAGACCAAAGGGGAAGTCAGTCTGAGAGTTTCTATGGCACGGACCATTTCTCTTTTTCTTTATTCCTATCCTCATCATGAGGCTGTGCATTAATGTGATTCCAGAGACCATTGCTCTTCTAGGAATCGATATCTGTGTCATAGCTGTAACTCAGCTAGAAGGCTTGATTCCCATGGTACTTTTTACCATCAAGGCGAGCATGCTGATATACGTTATTTTTTCTATCTTTCCTTCCCCTAATACTCATGGTAGGAAAGTTTTATTTCTGACCTTGCTTACTGGTTTTGGGGACAGGCAATGTCAGGAGAAGGTGAAGTTTGGAGGAGATTCACCATGACCACGCAGTGGTGAGTTTGCATGCTAAAAAGAAAGGCCGGTGGATATGTAGTAGTTAAGGCTGCGGTGGCCAGATTCAGTCAGGAGTTGGATAGAAAATGTATGCTCATTGCATATTGGTACGTTTTTTTGTAGTTTTTTTTTTTTCTTTCTCATTAGTTCTGAGGGCTGGATAAACTATAGAAGTATCCTCACCTTCTGCCCTTAATGTAATGCATTAGGTTTTCTGTGAGGCTCACCTGAGGTCAGCTAGTTTTTGAGCAATGAAAGATGGCATAATGAAGAAATAAAGTGTGATTCGTGGCCTCTTTATGATAGGTTCTGCAGTCTTTACGGGCACATGCTGTAGAAAACCTGTAAAAATTAATACCTCTTTCACAAACAGAGCTGTAAGGCTTAATGCTTCTGGCAAATAATATATACCTCTAAAGGGTTTGAAATAAAATGCGGTCCTTTAGGTACTGAAGTGTTGCTATTATATGTCTTAAAAATGGCTGTAACTTTTCACAACAAAAAAAATTAAATTGCATGAAACAATGTAGACAGATCAACAAAAGCAAAGAAAGGTAGAGGCAAGGCTCTACTGGGTGTTTAATTTAGCTCTTGATAACTAGACAGTGCTGCATATACAGCTCTCTGCCAGAGGATCCGCACAGTCTGGCACTGCTGCATGTTTAAGATGGCACTGAACATTTTGAAAAGCTGATGGTGGACAAGAGTGTTGGTCTCACTGATATCCACAGTCAAGCCCATTTGGAGTCAGGGCTCCTGTGTCAGCAGTCCCTTGGAAAGCTGTTACAAGTATTGTCTTAAGACCTGGTTGGGAATGCTGACAGTCAGGCGCAGCTTGATACACGGTCAACTGCACTGAGAACTGACTTTAATGAGAGTAAAAGTTTTAGACTTTCAGCAACCTGCCAGATATCACCTAACGTAGCAATGAGCTTCATGGGATTGCAAATGGGGAAGGAGGCCTCAGAGGCTCTAATGAAAAAAGTGGGCCTGGCTGGGAGGGTCTTAAGTATGCTGGTGTCTGTGGGGAAACAGGAAAAGGTGTGGTCAGTCTGGCAGTGGGGACT